CAAAAAAGATAGATGTGATCAATTCCATAGGATACTTTTACTACGCATTGTAATTATTAAGAGATTTATTGCGAATATGATGCATAGAATAAGTGATTCTGTTGTCTTACCTTACCATTTTAAGGAATGTTATACCTACAGCAATTAACAATTAAAAGTAGAGCGTTTGGGTTTCCCAACTTGTAAAACAAACTACAGCATATGAACAGAGGTTCAATACTATATTTTTTCAATGTTATCTATTTCAGTATATGGTGCAACTATTACTTTCAATTTAAAAATTTCTTGAAGTCTTGAATTAAAATAAACTGAACCACAATAAATGAAAAACAAATCCATATACGACAGGATGATCGTTGCAGTAAGTATTAAACTGAGACATGTTATAAGACATTGATTACTAAGCTATGGACTTAGTAACGGAAGAGTTATTTCATAGAATCAGCTAAATATAGATTTTCTAGACAGAATTTTGTATGTATTATTGGCTGTGTGATACAACAGATTTCCAAAATAAAATGAAACATTTATCAATTTAAGTGCTTCTTTATAGTCTAACAAATTTCCAGCGTATATTAATAATGAAAGCTAATCATTCCTAACGTTTCAATATCAGTTTCTATGTGTTATTTAGAAGTAAACTTTATATGTAAAATTTACTAAATAATAAATAATGAAGCAGTAATTTGGATTTCATATTTATTTACAAGAACAAAAAAAATATAATTTAAAGTCCTGTAGACATTTGAAGTATTTTAAATCCTGAAGGTTCTTTTGAAATTCACTGTTTCCAATATTATATATAATTAAAATATTTGGTCCAGAATATCATCAAAATAAGCTTATGTACTGGTACTTTCAGCATCCTCTTATACTAAGTTGCTTTACGTCAGAAACTTAAGAGTATCTTTGATAGACGCTAGTTTCGATAATGAAACTACGATAGTAGGTACATTCAAATCATGACAAATATGAATTAAGTCACCACTAATTTGTAAAATACGTGCAAGAGTGATCATCATAGTTTTCTATGAATCGAAAAATAAATACTGATAGCAAAATGATCCATAATGATAAATATATATAATCATTTAGATCATTTAAGTCAGATATACTAATTTGCAGAAAATTTAAGTTATTCTAATCTCGCTTCGATTAGTAAATATATATTAGTCTCAAATAAATTCATTAATTCATACGGTCACATGTTTTAACTATCAACAAAACTAAGCCCAGTTATTGTTGTTATTTTTTTATTGACATAAAAGCTAATGATTTTGTTCAGATAATAAAAAAAGCATTTGCTATATTCAGTCTATCTAATTATTCGTGATATATATATAAAGAAAATATATAAGCATAGTAAAGTTTTCTTTTCTTTTCGGTCATTAAGTAGTTTCTATGACATTTAATCATTTCTATTCATTCTAGTCTAGTAACTAAAGCGTTGTTTATTAATTTTTTTTTTAAAAATATTATTACTATAGTAAAATATATGATTACATCGTTAAACTACTATTATTCAAGTACATTTTGCTTTATTGAAACTTTTTTTTGTTTTTTTTATCGTTTTTTTGAAAAAAAAATTGGTTATACATTACCGACAATGAAAATAATTAATCATTTGTCATTATAAAATCGTTTATATTATTCTGAAACATTCATTTATTTACAAAATTAAAAAAACGTTATTGAATTTATTTATTTATTTTTTTTTAAAAACTAATATTTGTCATTTAATGTAGTTCAGGCTAATTATCAATAGGATAGTTTATTAAAGAAAACAAAAACCATTATCAAAGTACTTTGTTCTCTTATAGATATTATTATGAAAATTCGGTAAAGAAACTATAAATTCTTTTGTAACTATATGATTACCCTCAATGTATTATTCTTTGTTTCTTTTTAAAAAAAAAAACAAAAATGATTAGTCCTCTCTGTCTAATTAGATTTTGTTTTCCTAGGATATAATACATGAAACGTGAATGTAAATGTAGTTTTTACCTACCAGTAAGGTTTATTATTTTAATAATATGCTAATATACATGCTATTTGTTTAACCTTGTGAGGTATTTAAAAAAAGTCTTTTATCTTATTATAAAAACGTAAATAATTCAACAATTTTTTTGGGAGGTGTTTTCAACAGCAATAATCAATGTAATGTTGATGATAAAGAAATGGTATAAAAACGATTCGTTTATAGTAACAGTAAGGTTAAGTAAATTAGTAACAACCCAGCGGTTTAATAAAAACTTTAAATACGGTAAAACGTTGTATTTATGGGTTTCGGTTCTCTCATTGATTATCTGTACACAATATTCTAGACAGTAGTTAGTCACTCTGTATAAGCAGATGTCTATTTTTGATGAATTTCTCCAATATTGTCGGCATTCAATCACTCCGGCTCAGTGGTCTAGAAGTGAAATTTTTGAGCGCGAAGCTGAAAGTCGTGAGTTTGATTCCCGCATGCAGGTAGTGGATGGGCGTTATTGAGGGTTTCATACTTGGACGAGGCCCCCGTCCAATATTTCTAGGTTTTCACTTGCCGTCTCATTTAGATCACTTCATGATTTTTATGAAACTCAGTAATCTTCACAAATTCATAGTGACAATATTTGGTATCTAACAGAACAATCCATCTGGACCCCACTGTTAATGTTCATAACAAACTTCAGAGTGATCAAATGTAGTTTATAATACAAACAACGAGGAAACTTAAACATCAAAATATGTGCATTTATATTGTGTACATAACTTTAAAACCGATGACCGAATAATTGGACAAACAAAATTTAAAGCTAAGTGGATAAAGCGATGTGCGTTTGAAGAGACAAGTGCTTGGTTAGAATCCTGACGCGAATATCAGCTTATTAGCCCGTAATGGAATGAAACAAAAGTTCTGGCTTCTACTGCTGGACAAAATTAAACTTCACTGAAACAGTTAAAATGATTTTCTTTCAAAAAAATGCTCTACTCTAATGTTTGAGTGGATAATCTTGGTAAATCACACCATGCATTGGTTCAAACCGAGCTTGTGGAATTAGGTAATGATAGCATTTATGTATTGATATATGTAACAGAAAGACACACCTATTTTCTTCGGTCTAATTTTAACTTGCATCAGTTATTGAAATGAGGATTATAAGATGTTATTAAGATGCATGAAAATTCAAAAACAAATTTTTGTTGCCAAAAAATATGATTATCATTAAACAGCTTGGATATGCTGTAGTTAGTCTCAATGTTTGCGTTTATTATATTTAATCATATAAGAACCAAACTGATGGAGCATAGAGTCTAATGTAATTGTTGAAAAAAAGCAAAGTACAAATCAGAACTGTGTTATCCAACTAATATAATTATTACATCCTCTAATACTTGTCACTTTATTCTGATGTTATAAACAGTCTTATATATGATTAAATATAATTTTGGAAATTTTGGCATAGTAGATGTTACTAGACATAGTGTACTATAAACCGTAGGTTAATTCATACTACATTTATTATTATAACCAATTATTTTTAATTTGTACATATAGTCACGAGTGAAGATGATGTATTTATTCCATTCAGTGTAGCAACACAACTTAGTATTGAAAGAAAATGGTTACTTTAGAAACTTATTTTAAATAGAATACTAAATGACTTGAACTTGACCGTCATATCGATCAAGTATTAGTGAAGGTCAACTTTAAATCATAGGATTCTAGTGATGATATGAAGTTGTTTATCTATTTTTCGTTTTTTAATATGCGCATGGTTTATACCAATTCCTTGCATATTTTATACGATTAGCGGTTTAGTGTTCTTTATAACAGTCTAATTTTCATTGAAGATTTCATTTTAGGCAAATGTAGTTATTCACACCACGGTGTAACGCGAACAATGTAAAATTTACATTTTTATAAAGAGTACAAATGAACAGAAAATTAACCTGATATCGCACATCTGTTAAACATTAAAGAACGGGTAAATACTCTCACACTACAGTTAGGTCGCAAATGTTGTAAAGTAAGCTATGAGATATTTCGTGACATTTCCCCTTTGATTTAATCGAAATGGCTCAAGTTTATTGGACATTTACTAGCAACTTGTATTCTGCTATTTAAAAAATGTCAAAAATTATCAATGGAATTTCATGAATTCAAGTGATTTACATACGAAATCGGCATTAGATACACAGATATAAAGAATGTGAAGTAAATCACCTACATCTTCTTGTTCATTTTTCAATATTAAAATTGAATTTTAGGGTTATTAGAGAAATATTTCAATGTCCTATTCCACCTCCTACCTGTTCTGCAATAGTTTATTTGCCTATGTACGCTTTTACGGCAAGTCTTAATAAATAATTTTGTTAAATGATCAGTCTGCAAAGGTATTTAGAGAACATTCCTTAGTTCTTTAAAAAAATCGTCAAATTTATTCTTCCTTAAGCCAATAATTTAATTCAGCAAAATCCATGTACTTCGTAAATTATGGGATTTGTACATTGTATTTTCAAAATAAAAGTTGGAAGTTTCAGCAGATAAAACTGCGTAGGAGACTGTGATTCAGTGAAAAAACTTAATTATAACTTACTAAGAAAAACATTTGTTTATAGAATGGATAAATTAGTATTTTACTGAAAATAACGTTATTGTATTTTGTAATTGTTTATTCCAAAATAAAAAGAAACAGTCTCAACTCTAATCTAATGAATAATGAACATAAAATCCGATTATTTACACTATACAACTATTCATGTTAAACAAGATAATAATAACTTTCTTCTATATATTACTGAATTTCTCTACAGTATTATTGTTTACATATTTTATTTCATAACAGTCAATAATAACTCAATAGATTATGCAATTAATTATCTAAAAAAAATTTTATTCTCATTTTAAATTATTTATTTAAAATCATTCAATTCATTGGTTAAATTTTAAGTATTTCTTGCATTTTTATTGGATACTTAATATCTTCAGATGATTGGCTAATTATTCATATGAAGATATATGACTATCAATTGTTCTCTATTGTTTATAATTTCAACTACTAAACATATTTTCATCATGTAATTTAAAAAATTAAACTTTTTATAATAATTAAACTTCATTTTTTTTCATAATAATATGTTACCCAAAAAATTAATTCCCAAGTAAATAAACAAAAAAAATATAAATAAATAACTCACTGATGATTAATGTTTCACAGTTATTCGATATAATCAAATGAAGATAAACATTTTGTTACATATTTTATTGAAAACTACAATGGTAATCATAATACTTATAATTAACAGTATGAAATTTTCTCATACACAATCATGGCAAAATACATTACGTTTAGCAAAACGACATACACATCATGATGATATTGATATATTAAAAACTGCATTAGATAATTTTGTATATAAAATGGATAATCGTAAATATATTCAAAGACCAAGTCATTTAGTCAATATAACAAATAATTATGAAAAGAATATAACACATTTCAATAATCAATTAGATAATAATAATGAGTTAATTTTAGCAAATTATAGCAGTGATACAAATGCACTGATTGATGATATTCAAGAAAATAATTTAAAAAATTATTTTATTGATCAAACAGTTAAAAATTTAAAAAATACAAATTCAAAGAACAATTTATTTACACAAGTTCATAGTTCATCGAATACATCTTTTACTTGGAATATATTACAATTTTCATTTGGTTTATTATGTTTTATTATACACGTTACATGGTTCATATGGTTAATATGTCATACTGTATTATTTAAAATATGTCAGCAATCTATTAGTTCACAATTTGAAACCGTTTCTCATTCTAATAAAAATAAAATCAGTGAAAATGATTTACTTATTAAACATAATCAATTAACAATGCATTCAGAATTACATTTAGGTTTTATAGGAACTATTTATGGTTTTATAATATCAATTAGACAATTATCAAGTCCATTTGTAGATCCTAAATCAACCACTTCATTAGATCAAACTAGTTTAGTTAATCGTAATTATTTATTATGTTATTTTACAAGGCATATATTACTTGGACTTTTAACAGTTTACTGGATTACTATATTTATTATCATTCTTATAAATACACATTATATAAAATCAATTTATGTTATGAATACTTCAAAAATTCCATTAATTAATAATGTATTTGTTATTTTGTATATAAGTTTTATTGTATCATGGATATTTTCTATTGTTATACGTATAGGTAGTTTATTAATTAATTATAATTTACAAAAATTTAAAATAAAACATTTATTTAATACAAATTATATCCCTATTCAACAAGTATTACATTTTGAATGTATTAATATAAAAAATATAGAACATCAAAAAATGTATTTTTATATTGTATGTAATCAAACAACATTAGAACAATGGCTTGAAATAATCACTAATATATTAAGTGATATATTACCAAATTTTTTAGTATTTAGTATAAGTATATTTAATTGTTCTATATTGTTTAAATTACGTAATCATTCATATAAATATATTCATTCAATTAAACAAATAATAAAATTTTCAAATAATAGTAATAATAATAATAATGATATAAATAATAATGAGAATATAATTAAATTAAATAATTTATCAAATAGTAAAGATAAAAGAAAAATAAGTAAAATATGTAAAACATTAACATCAACACCGTTGACATCAACACCATCATCAACATTAACATCCTCATGTTTAATGTATCAATGTGATATACCAATTCAATATAAAAAACAAAATAATCAATTAAATAATGATAATATATTAAATAAACAAACAATACAATTCAATATATTATATAAAATAAATCAAATCATATATTTTTCAATTAGTTTAATCATAATAAGTTTTTGTTTATTAATTAATCATTTATTACGTTTAATTATTTATGGTAATTTAATGAAAACACAAATGAATTATTGTAATTTATGGAATTTTAATCAAGATTTAAATGAACCGGAAAATATAAAATTATTTAAATATATTTATGAAAATTTACACATTCCACATCAATATTTACAAGGTTGTATATTAATGGAAATATTTATTATAACATTTATACCAATTATATGCTTTATTATAAGACGTTGTAAATATTTATTTTATAAATTATGCTTTAAATTATATAAAATAAATAATTTAAAACAAATAATAAATAATGATTTATATAAAAAAAGATCAGAATGTTTGTATGATAAATCAATAAAAATGGATTATATTGATCTATCTAAATTAACAATACCAATTAGTTCACCTATAACATTAAATACTAATGATGATATTGGTAATCAAAGTACTATTACTACTTCTTTATCATCTACAACACAATGTTGTCAATTATCAATGGATACGATAATTCCACCTTGTGAACTATTAAAATTACAAACATTTACAAGAGCACAATTTGAACAAAAACCTCAATTATTAATAGATAAAGAAACACATTTAAAATCTATAAATGCAAATATGCCGACATGTTCTAATGAAGTGTCAGAACAACAGACAATAACAACAACAACTTTTGTACCAGTTTCTATAAAATTAGTAAATTTACAACCATTATGTTGTCAATCATGTGATATATTTACAGGTGGTACAAAAATCTTATCTAAACCAGATGATACTGTGATAGAATGTGAATATTTAAATAATAGTTGCATTTATCCTATTGAAACTACAGGGTCAGTTGTAAAATTACATGTTGTATCAGATTCCAGTGGATACGATGAATAGTGGTATTATTTACAAAAGTATTAACAAAATACAGAATAGGAATAAAATGCAATACCTTCAATTTTTCATGAAATATGGCAAGTTCTTCCACTGATTTAGATTATTTCTAAATATTTGTGTTTATATATATATATATATATATATATATATATATGATTGTAACTAATAAATATTATCATAAAAATTTGATGAGAATACGGATTTTGTCTTCAAAATCGAAATTATCCTTAACAAACATCTTATTTAACATAAAGGTCACGCTGTATGTATTTATTGGTAAGATATGTGTGAAATAATCTATTTGTAGTACATAATGCTGTAGTCGAAGGAGCAGGCTTCAATAAATCGTGATTTTTGTTTGTTTAAGCATAAATTTGTTGTTAAATAACACCGTGGAATCTAATAATTTTGTGTGTAACATTCATGAAAATGATTTAGTTAATTAGTGAAAAATAATCATAACTGTTTCGCTTATTCAGATAATTCTAAGTTAAGGCTGAATGGAACTGATGAGAGAGAGAGAACATGACGTAACAGTACGAGAAAAATGTACAAATTATTGTGGTTATGGTGGACAAATCAATAAATTTGATGGTCAATGCAAAGGATAATAATGAAGTGATAATAATAATAATAATAATAATAATAATAATAATAATGGTGGTGGTGATAATAACAATAATAATGTGAAAGAACGTAATTGGTTGAATGGCTAAATTGATCAGATGTCAAATATCTTATTGAATAATGTTGAAATAATAGAAATAATTGCCATGACTATAAATGTGTAGCGAAAAATTGAGAAAAATGAACAATAAAGATGTCATTTTTATTAAATAGAAGTTTCTACGAAACAGAAAAACAATGTTTTAAAATATGGATAATAATAGTTATAATAATAATGGTTTGAAATTGGGCGGAAAAATAATAGAAGGAAGAGAGTAATTCAATTACCATGGGAATCCAAAGTGAACCGTAATCTATTTTTGAATACACGGATTGTTGTTGACACGTCGAATAGAGGCCATCTGTGTATGAATGTGATATCTGTCCTAATTCTACATATTTCTCGATCGAAACTCTATTCTGGAATCTACTAAATGACCCCTATCCACTATATATCTTTATGTGACTCTGGTCAGTTGCACAAAGAAAATAATCATCAAACCAGGTTGTTTGAGTCATAAGAATTTTTAAAACTATACCATCACTGTTCTTCCAATGTACATTCAATTTCAGGTATAAATGATTAGGAAATTCCAAAAAGGAACAACTAGAGAAGATCTATTACTTAAGATTTCCTTAACAAGCATGTTGTTTCACATGTAATTATTAAACCGGCATGACGAAAAATCAGTCCAATGCTGCGCCTTAATTGATATTTATTTTATGAGCTAAGATCATCCCATTTGAATAGGTTTTAAAAGCACAAACCTCAGGGAAATGACTTGTAACATCTTGTTAGTAAAATAACAGTACTCATTTATAAGCTTCATCGGATAACAATTCTGGACTGAGATTCTTTGAACAATTTTCAACTATATTATTCTTCGCATTGTTTCACCCTTTGTTAATGTAGTTATCACAACAACTGGTTATTCTCAAATTATTATTACTTCATTATTATCCATCAAATTTATCAATTTGTCTACCATAATCACAATAATTTGTCCATTTTTCTTGTACAATTGCGTCATATTCACTTTCTCTTTCATCTATTCCATTCAGAATAGTCTGAATATCAGAAACAATTATAATGATTTTTCACTAATGAACTAAATCATTTTCATGCATGTTACACACAAAGTTTTCATTATGGGGATTTTTGGAGATTGTAGTATTTTCACAGTTGATTCACGGATCAATCTAAGCTAGATCAATATCGAAAATCTAGAAGCACTGGACGGCCGGTTCGTCTTAGTATGAGACCCCTCACCAGCGCAAATCCATGACTCTGCACGAAGGACTCAAACTCAGTATCGTCGGTCCTGCGCACGAACCCTTAACCTTTATACTACTGAGCCAGAATCCAAAAGTGGTAATGTCTAACTTCAATTGATCCATGAATAATCGCTCAACCGTTCATCGATTGTCTGAGAAGGATACCTGTTTCTACCCGACACAGATTGGAATCCACCAGTCGCACCTTCCCATTAGAACTCTAATAAATCCATCTTGAAGCTGGCCACTAGTGAGCACATGATTTTTATGATTATGGATATTTGTAGAGATTGTAGTATTTTAACAGTTGAATTCACGTGTTTTGAATAGCACTCTAGCTTAAACATAAAACTGATTATTACATAAACTACAAATTGCTGAGTTATCAGTTAAGTTATCCGGGAAAACTATGCAAATTAAAAACTCTATTCTGTTGCATATCTTAGTTTCAACACATGGAAAGTCATCAACAAGATTAAAAATGATTGTTCTCGATATAATTCTATTTAAAAAAAATTCAAACCATATTTTTATCGTCAGAGTAATTTATACATCGATCGTTTTGAAATATTAGTGGTTTATTCAGAGTTGGTTGACAAGTAAATAACTGTCAACCAGTTATACTAAATAACTGTAAGATCGTATGAAGCATAAATCGATTATAAATAAATTATTCATGAATTCAAAGACAGTATTCAATAAGCTATTTAATTGTTCAAATGACTTTATTAAATCTTGGAAGAATATATTTGGTAACGTGAACCTTTATATTATATCTAGTTGAAATAATGGAGATTTATAGCTAAGGTGATTGCTTTTAGTGTCATTTAGTTTTCTCAGTCAGATGGTATTTTTTAAATCACACTAGGTCAATTATCTCATCAACAAAGTGCGATGTACAGTGCGTCTGAGTCAAGCGGTACAGGACAGTCAAATTGAATATAAAAACAAGTATCAACCATGAAACCAACAAAAATATTAAAAATATCTTTAAAATAAACTGACTTAAAACTCGTTTAAAAACAAAGAAGCTTATTTCTGCAGAAACTAATCGCTGATGACGTTGACCAAACTGATAATAAAAGCTCACTATTTAATTTATCTTGTTTAGAGAACTCAACATCAGCAGAATGTCACAGTTAACTAACTATTAGCAGTTTCGGTTTTCATATGAAATGACTTGTGACGGATAAAGTTCCAGGATTTCATTATAATTATGAAGCGGTATTAACTGTAAAAATATCTAAAGATTGATAAAACCTATTAGTTAGTTGTTTCATTATCAATTAGAATTTTATATGACTACACACAGTAAATAACTGAACATGTAAGTTGAGCATGTATTATAACATTCTCCAACAGTTGTCTCATATTCAGTACTACACTTTTAATTCTTTTGTGTATATGATGTGTTTTAATATGATAATTTTGATCGTCAAAGAACGAAACTGTTGAACTCTAAACTAAAAAGTCAAAATTATTGGAGTTGAACTAAGCCATAAAATAGTAGTATTCACTACGGTACTTGTTCATTTCACATGGGTTTCTGCTTAGTATAATCGTGGTAGGATGCGAATTAAAACATTAAAGTTTTACAAATATAATTAGTTTTGCAATATTGTTTTTGGAAAAGTCAGGGTGATCACCAGGAATTTGATCCCATCTTATTATTGATTGACGGTTCAAATGTTTATCGAACGAAATATGTACAGAAAAAGTTAGCCTGGATTTTTACAAGTATTAAACGATGATCACAATCAGAGCTTTTATGAAGGTTTGGAAAAGCTTGTGAACTGTAACACGATTTCAGTACACGAGCTACAATGTATACAATTTATTTTCATCAAAAAGGTTAAACATTTTAGTAACTGACTGTTGACACCATTTAGTAATAACGTAGTCAAAATCTGAATGGAATTTTTTCTACTTAGAAATTTAAACTGTAATTTCAGCCTTATTTAATTGCAATTTAAAGCGAAAGTGTATACTACACATAGATGTATTTATCACCTTTAACTCTCTAAGCAGAGGTAGAATTTTCACCGGTCTAATGCATGCCAATTTGAGACAGTTACTTCAAACAATGGGTGGATGGTTAAACGTTTAAGTGTGAGACTAAAGGTCCTAGGTTCGAGTCCTTCGTGCAAGATCATGAATGCGCACTGCTGAGGAGTCCCATACTAAAACGGAATGGCCATCCAAAATCTTCAGGCTTTCCATGGTGATCTAGCTCTAATCGACCGGTGAATTCATCGTTTAATTTACTGTCTATTAATTCTTGTATTAAGAACTATAAAGTGTCCTAAAGTAAACTTGAAACATTGATTGATCTATCAGCTTAATTATTCTTTCATCAGAGCGTTTTTTTTAATAAATGAATCTTCTAACTATTTAGACATTTAATTTATATAATGATGATCTTAAAGAATGTCTGGTTTAAAATCTTATCTAGTTATTTGGTAAGGATATTCAGTAAATTGTGTAATAGACGTTAACTGATATTAACCTTTACCATTATCAAAATAAATGTGAAAGTAATCAAATAAATATACATTGAAAGGAATACAAAAAATGGAACTGTATAAATGATTGATAAAACTGACGGTTATTTTATATAACTTGAGTATATATTTGCATTCACAAACTACATTGTATTCTAAGTGTAAATTCGAGATTTTGGTTAAAAATTCTAATTAACTCGTGAATAAGATGATTTTGACATAAACTGACTATTTTATTTTCACTCAATTCTTTATTCAAGTATTAGTTGATTATTTCTGTTTTATTAAAGAAAACTTTTTTTTTTGTTGGTAAAAGCAATTCTTTCTTACGATATGTTCACTTAATCATGAACAACTTATTTCGATACGTGTGAGATTTACATAAATTAAACCCCTTTTAAAGCAAACGTAGTATACATGTCGATTAATTTTTGATCAATCAAATGATAAAAAATCTGATAACCATACTGAATACAACATTAAAACTTATTGAATACTTAAGTAACTCTCATGCGATTGAGCTTGTATTAACAATTGAATGGAGTTCAAACAAGTTAAAAAACGTGTACTTTATGAGTAATCGTAGTTTGAAGAATTTAATAAAGTATGTAAATAGGATTTGAATAGCATCGGTATCTAGTCATGGTCACATATAAAAAAATACGTCATTCACTAACAATTGTCTTTTTTTTCGTTAAAAGCTTATAAATAGGTTTCTAAGATTGTAGGTAGTTGAAGTGATCTAGGATGCTTTAATATCTCTGAAAAATTCAAACAAAGCAAATAACAGATACATGAACCGTTTATACAAAAACAGAAGAAGTTATTCTAAATTGTATAGTGTTATTCATCTTCAAGGACCTCTAACATTAAGTATTAATTATTGTGATCACTACAAAAACTAGCTTTTGTAAATGAGTTAAAACAACACAGCATAAACTGTCATCAAATCAGCTAATTCAATTCAACAACGCGTTCTTAAACAACTATGGATAATTCTACTGTTATAATAAAACCATTTCAAAACGAAACCACATATTTTAGCCTTTATACAACTTTACCCATTTATAAAATTGTATAAAGATCAATTATTGTAACAAAATAAAATGAATCCATTCGTTTCGTGAATTCACTTTAGTTGTTTACAACTCAAAAAAAACCATAGTATTGTTCATAAAAACAAAACAATTGTATATACTTTATTTCAGAAGCGTTTACAATAAACTGAGTTGAAGTGTGGATATAGAATAATATTATATTATAGAAGAGCATGAGAAAAGAACATTTTTTCTTCTCAAAATAGAAGATAGATTATGAGTATTACATTGTTAAGTTATTTCAAACTATGATGTTTCACATTTCATTGTGATGTAAACGACTTACTGGTTAGATTAGCTTGTTTTGTTCTTTTATAGAATGATAATAGATAAACATGGTTACGTTTAGGTAAAATATATTTTATTTGTTATTCTTAAAATTATTTAACCAAATTATTCTTCTATATGTAGATTCTTATTTTTTTATTGTGGAAAATTCTTATAAATCCGGTCACCATTTATTTAGACAACCACATGATACTTACTGCTAAATAATATTAAATTAAAAAAAAAAAAAAGAATGTGATCGATTTAATTTATATTTTAGAAAAAGAAACTAAGTTAATAAAATATTCATTTTATATCCTAAATCATGGCATTGACACCTTATTAATGAAAGAGTAATTTCTAGTCGTCTCAGTATTTTCAAAAACAACAACAAAAAGTCAAAATTTCATGATTGGATATAAAAGTAGTATCTGACTGGAACTTTATTCGAATATACAGTTTCACATGGACTTATCATACCAACTGAATCATGACATTGTATGATGCCGAGGTATTTACTTCTACTTTGATCATCTCTCAAATTCATAGAATAGTAAGTTCTTGATCTCAATTTTTCAACAATGATATATCAATTATAGCCTCATTCAAGTTTATTAAAAAAATATGTGCGATCCGACAAAATTATTGTTCATCAATTAATCATGATACAATTAGTGTGAGAAATACTGCAAGGGCTTACATTTGAGGTGTATTTTTTTAATGTTGATGAACTTTCTGTTCTAGGGAGAAAATATTATCATGACGAGATTTACGAAGTATAATTTATTAGATCGTGGTTGGTGGATATTAGCAAACTAGAGGGAAGAGTAAATTCAAACCTAGAAAAATTACTACACATGTATATTATTAAAAAAGAGGAATTTAATTTTCTAAAACCTATGGGTTCCGAGTACCCTCATTTATATGGACTACCTAAAATTCATAAACCAAACACTCCTTCACGTCCAATTCTATCAATGTGCAGATCACCTACACATAACCTGGCTAAATGGTTAACAAAGCTGTTGGACCCTATCCGAAGACATCTAAGTAAGTATTTTCTAAAGGATTCTTTTGAACTGGTCGATCATTTAGGTGATATTAATATCAAGGAAAAGACAACGTGTTCATTTGATGTGAATTCCTTGTTTACAAATGTACATTTGAAAAAAACTAGTGATATATTGTGTGATTACAAATCTGTAAACAATCTTATATCACGTGTCCATGTAAAAATTCTTAAAGATTTACTGTTATTATGTATTAACAAAGTTCAGTTCACTTTTGAAGGTGAATACTTTTGTCAGATTGATGGGGTTGCTATGGGTAGTCCGCTAGGACCATTATTAGCAGATATGTTCATGGCACATGTTGAAAGTCAGGCTGATGACTTAATAGAAAACATGTCACTTTATAAGAGATATGTGGACGATATCCTAGTTGTTTGTGAAAGAAAAGAGGATATGTACCGTTTATTAAATAAATTCAACACTCTCCGAAACCATATCAGTCTCACATGAGAAGAGGAGAAGAACGATCAGCTCCCCTTCCTAGATATACTTCTGAGTAGACGAGAAGATGGCTCAGTCAAGAGATCCGTTTTTAGAAAACCAACGTGGACAAGTCAATACCTTAGTTATTATAGTTATTACCCTGTGCAATGCAAACGTGGTTTGATAAGGTGTCTTTTCAACAAGCTTGATCGTATTTGTACAAATGGCGCCATTGATGACGCTGTTAAGTTGTTACACAAAACATTAATAGAAAATGGTTACCCCCTGAAATTCATAAATAAATGGAAAGTCCATGGTACAGTGAGACCTATTGTAGCCTCGGTGGAAAAAAAGCCTGTCTACATCACCTTACCATTCGGAGGTGATTCAAATAGTCTGTTATTGAAATAAAGACTTAAATCAGTCATCAGCAAAACGTACTGCGCAGCAAAGTTCATTGTCAAAGAAAGAACAAGGTGCATGTTTCATCCAAAACCTAAAAGATATGAAAACGATTGTGTCACATCCCACTGTGTTTAGCAATTTAAATGTGTGTGTGGTCACACATGAATAGGGAGGAGCAATCGTAATCTTAACATTGGGGTGAGTGAACATGTACCCAAATGGCTGCAGAAACAAATACAATCAAGTGACCCAATAAGAGCTATTGCTAAACATATAATTGAAACAGGGCACAAGATTGATCTAAACTCGGCTCTTGTGGTATTATATATAAGTGTAAAAGGGCGTATGCTAAGGTTTCAAACCCCCTTTGTGTTCTTACCTTAAACCTACCCTGGTAATATTGACCCAGAGTGATTAGGTTTTGAATTGTATTCGGATTATTATTATTATTATTATTATTATTATTATTATTATTATTATCTTCTCTTACTCCATTTCCAGTCTAGTTGACCTTTTATTTTTATATATAAATGCTCTTAACAAGTATATGTGTGATCAGATTGTTCGAAATGTATTGCACTAATATATCACATAGTTCTGATAATCTCCGTCTTCTTATTACATTATCGAAAAGAATGAATGACAACTGGAAACAACTGAAAAGGATTGTTCAGGACACAGTTGGATGGAGAATGCTTGTGGGTGGCCTATGTTCTTCCAAAAGGGGCAACAAGCGTAAGGAAGTAGTTTTAAGAATGCCCGTTATAAAATCAGTGTCACATATATTGTTATTTCTCCTAGATACGACTTTTCTAAGCAAAAAATCACAATTTATATTAGTAAGCTTATTAATAGAAAATTGGATATAATTTAGTTTGTGTGTGTTATAAGTACAAAAGACAAAATGAAAGCATATACCTTTGGAATATGTTTAAGTATGATGTTTATTTGCTGTCTGTTAACGAGTTAACAGTAGTTTTCTTCTATTATTCTGTATGTATTATTTTATCCTGCAGTGTTATAACAGCTGCTTATCTAGCATAACAGTTTTTACTCAACAGAAAATCTTTATAATTTACTTTAGGCTTTTTTCGTACTGAAAAATTACTGGATTAATTGAATAATAGTTATAACAACAAAAGTATCGTTTGTTACAATAATTCTCATGTGAATGAATGATTTCTAATTCATATGATTAGTTCATGTGTTTTGCAATCATACCTTTTATTATTCAATCAAAGTAGGAATTGACTGATTCAAAAGTTTATGATTAAGGCAATAGAAAAGTGGGGCTCTATCCTGATCTTTACAATATTTGCTTCAAATTAATTGGCATATATATATATATATATATATATATATATATATATATATATAATGAACAGATATATCTGGTCGATGATAGTAATTTCATTGAACAAAAATCAATTTTGTATGGTTATCTGTAAACATATTTTTCACCACATTATTTAGCATTATCAAAGTTAACGGGAAATTTGTCAGGATACAGAACAAATAAGATAGTTTTATGGAGATCAATGAGTTTTACAACATACGCGACTGCCTTTCCTTAGAAGGATCGCACAGCTGTTTCGATACAGTATATGACTCATCAGTAGCGGATATTCACAACTTGACTAGGGATTGAACGCAGAACCTTCAGGTTTTGTAGTGAGTGCTTTTCTGCAGAAGGTGCTTTGTGGATAGTGTAGCAACTTTAATAGTTGAAGCTAGACCACCATGGAAAACCTGGAGTAACTGAATGGCCGTTTCGTCCTATTGTGGGACTCCTCAGCAGTGAGCATCCACGATATCGCCTCGCGAGATATTTTCCATAAAATAAAAAACAAGCATTTATCAGTCCCACAATGCCAAGAGAATGAATTATTTGGTAGGTAAATCTTTTTTGATTTACACTTCTTATTAACATTGACTTAAAAAATATAACTAGTAAACATGATTTTTCCCTTTAGAAAATAAAATTAAATGTGATTAAATTTAAGAAAAGAATGAGTTTTGATTGAATTTGGTTTCAGTGTTCTTCTAAAACTGGATAAATAAACAAAAATTTCATGAATTATGTAGACTAGATTTTGTAGTCGATATGTAAACAAAACAACTGAAGTTCAATTAACCCTAATTGTTTTAGCTATCTTATGTGTAATTGTAAGGTAATTGGAGGACGTTTAAATGAAAACCCTAGGCATATGTTTTGTGCGTGTTGACATTCGTTAGCATGGCGTACCAGTAATCTAAAAGGAACTGATGTCAAATATGAAATTCGAATTCGTGCTAATCAGTTTTTCAGTTAAAGATGTTATCGCTTAATTTTTTCGGGTCAGTTGCATCCTATAACACTAAGATGCATTTACAGTTGATTAATGACTCAGTATTGATCTAATAACTCAAAATCTCAAGACAATGCCCAATATCTAAATATTAAAATTGTAACTTAATCAGTCAAGTTCTATGTAAACTAAATGACCACACAAGCATGACGATTTAAACTTCTCAGATGACCCGGTTCTTCTATCCCATACACACGAACATATATAAATGAAAACAGCTGGTGCAGCAGCCTTTGAACCAGTGAGCCTCAACATGCACAAGGAAAAAAGCGAGTTCCTTAAATACAAAACGGTAAACACCCACCTTAACACACTGGATGGAGAAGCTTTGGAGTATGTGGAATCTTTCACGTGCATATCGAGGAAGCAAAATTGACATAAAAGGAGGATCAAATGCAGACGTAAAGACAAGGGTTGGCAAAACAAGGACAGAATTCTTACAACTGACGAACATAGAGAACTCAAAACAACTGTCAACCGATATCAAAGTGATACTTCAATACGACTGTCAAGGCGGTCCTACTGTACGCATCTGAAGCTCTAAGAACTACCACAACCATAAACAAAAAGATACAAGTATTTATAAATAGTTGTCTACGTAAGAAACTTAATAACCGTTGGCCGGATTCCAGCTTATTGTGGGAGAGCACAAACCAGCTTCCAGCTGAGGAGGAAAACAGGAAAAGACTCTAGAAGTGGATAGGATATACATTATGGAAATCACTAAACTTCATCTCGAGGCAAGTGCCAACTTGGAACCATGAAGTAAAATAAAAAAGAGGAAGATCAAAGAACACACTGTGTTGGAAATTGGAAGTAGACATGAAAAGAATGAATGACAACTAGAAACAACTGAAAAGGATTGTCCAGGATACAGTTGGATGGAGAATGCTTGCGGGTGGCCTATGTTTTTCCACAAGGGGTAACAAGCGTTAGTAATATATATATATATATATATATATATATATATATATATATATATATATATATATGATATAAAAAAGTCATATGATCTTTGTAATAAGTGATAGCAGTGTATATTAAATGGCTTCCACTAAATTATACCCAGTTTCATTGTGTAAATGGAACACGTTTTAATTCTACTACATTTTATTAATGGATTATACTAATAACTTACCATAAATAAGTGTACATTGTTCAAAGAATCGAATTTTCTGAATTTTTTATACTAGAAAGACAATAATTATATAGGCGAAATGTTTAGGTATGTAAATTTTTGGATCATTTAACATTCCATAGTGTATAATAAAAAAACTAGGAATATTTAGTGAACAATAGTTATCGACATCTTTCCAGGTTTCACACTGGATATGAAGGGATACATATAATAGTAAAGATGTATGGTAGCTAGCGGTGAAATCCAGGACGCACGTTTAGTCCTATTTAGGACTTGTCAGCTGGATACACCTGCATCCCAGATTTGATGTTCACTCCGGGACCCGAACCCAGTACCGTTTGCTTTAAACTTCATCACATCATACACTTACCTACTAAGTCCAAAGAGCCACTAGGATGTGTGATGAGGCGAAGTTTCAATTCATTTTTCTGTATTGTTCGTCTAAATCGTCCCATGGATATTTAGAGATTGATCATTTGCAGTCCTAAAGTTCCATCGAAAGATTTAAACAAACGATACGAAAAATGAATTGATGTATATAAAATCTATAGATGAAGTAATCAATATTATAAACCCTAAATAGTGGATTATATGTTAAATATATTTTAATTACTTACAAAAATTATCATTAGTAAAAAGGTCAC